CTGATTTCAAAGAGGTATACTCTAAGCCCTTCATTTTCAGATGAGAAACTGAGGTCCAGCGACCAACAATGACTAAATCTAGATCCTCTGATTGGGCAATGGAAGGACCATCAATACCCAAGTCTCTCAACTGGTTGCTTATCCACTGCTAACCCATGCAGTCTCAACACTTGCCTGGAATATTATTCTCTACTCCCCACTAAACCCACCATTGTACTTTTTTTTTTAATTGACAGCTTAAATACTTTAAGTTGTATAAATTCTGTGATAAAATAAAAGGGTTATGAGAGCCTAACGTACCTAGCACAGAGCTGCATCCATACTTAAGAGGAACTTGATTGGTCATTCAAACAATCTACTTCTGACTACACCACTCTCTGCCTTCTAGAACTTTGCCTGGAATTGTAAACTACCAATTTAATACTAGATTATATAAATATATTATGTAACTCTCTAATTTGCTTCATGGAAGCAAGTCATCTTTCCAAATAAAACACCAGATCCCACAAAGCCCGAGTTTAATTACCCATGGTACCTATCCCAGTGCTAGACACCCAGCAGGCAAGCCAACCAGTGCTCACTGTTTAGAAATTGGAGGAATTCAGAGGAGATATTAAAATAACAATTAGTTCTACAAACCAGAAGCAGGAGCCCCTCCCTGCTCCAAATCACTTGCTGGTAGAAAGGCAAAACAATCAAGCGCGGCTCTGGTCAAGAAAAAAATCTCAACCCACATTAAACATTATCACACATCGACCCTGCTAGTTTTCCTAGATTTGTATATAAAACACTAAAACAATTTTTAAAAAGACTTTTAGAGTAGGACAGGGCAAGGAGCACAAGAATAATAGTAAAATAATTTACTTTCTAAAAAGAGGGAGAGGAGAAAGGGCAAGAAACAATAAAGAAAGAGGAAGGGGGCAAATCAAATTCACAAGAAAGCCATGTGAACTTGGGGGCTCGCAGAAGGCAGAACTGAGTTCTGGAGCAATGAAGTGCCCCTTTCTTCTTCCCACCCCTCAGGGGGCGATCCATGAGTTAAACTGAACTACTCATTTGCAGAAGACTGGGTTGTTAGGGGAAGAGCACAAATTGGACTAAATTAAGCCAGCCTGATTTTCTCTGGCTCTTTAAAAAATTCTTTAGCTAAAAAAAGACTCTAAATAATGGCATTAGCTGCTAATCTAAAATGTTATCTACTTGTCCTAGCCTGGCGGCCTGCTTCCTGGGTGTGTTGGGCTATACAGCAAGGAAATGCAGAAGTGATAAAAGTCTACTTAAAATTAGAAGGCCTGGATCTTAGAGATGGCATAAACCTCAAGATCATGTGGTCTGGGGCAAAGACTTTGGATGGACAGGGATCCAGCTCTAAAGATGAGGCTAAACAGGTTAATTGTCTTGCCCTAGCACAGGCATGTATCCTTTACTTCATAAAGATAAATTCTACCTAGAATCCAGTGGCACCAATCACAAACATATACAACTGGAAGATGAAGGGAAGCCCTCTTCCCTCTCTGAGTCTGTACATGCCAATTCTACCTGACCTTGGAAGGTAACAGCAACTGTTAAGGCACCCCCAGCACAAGACATCATGGCAATGTGAGCCTATCACCCTGATCGGATAACACCCTAGGATAAAAATGGTGGTATAGGCTAAATTATGGAAGGTTAAGAAGGTAAGCCCTGGGGTTGGACTGTTTGGGTTCAAGTCCCATCTCTCTACCACTTGATAACTGAACCACTTATTTAACTTCCCCAAGCTTCAATTTCCTCATCATGAGAGGAATGATCAAATGAGAACAACATCATACACAATGGTAAGAATCCCACAGGGGTGCTACCAAACATTTATCATATTGCCTGGCAGGAACTAAGTGCTCAGTGAATGAATGTTAGCTAATGTTAGTCACACTCTGCATTTTCTATAGCTTTTTCTTAGATGTCCTCTGATCAAATTCTGATTCTGTACAATGCAGGCCTTGACAAATGGCCTCAAACTTGGTTAATATTTTTCTGCTTCTACAAAAATAAAAGGCACTCATGTAATTTTATTCGATTGAAAACAACCATCATCACTACTACAATTACTATTACTACTTTCTACTACTATACCACCTGGCTTATGAAACCTCTCCCTTTTTTTTTTTCTTTCTTTCCTCTTTCTGTCATTCTTCCCTCTCTCAAGATTGCGTATGCTCTCTTATTAACTAGGACTTTTCCTTCCTTTGTAAAAACAATACGGTATAGTTCAAATCCAATCTCTAGTCCTATCTGGCTGTGTAACCTTGGGCAAGCTTTTTAACCTCTCTGAAACTCATTTACTCATATGCAAAATTAGAATAACAGGAGTATTGAATACAAGGCTATTGTGAGGCTTAAAGCAATACCCATAAAGTGCCTACACATGATGAACCCTTAGCAAGTATGAGCTATTTCTCAATTCTCACATTATACAATGGATTTCTTGATTTGGGGCAGTATCAAATTCTCTCCCTGAATGAAAAGGCAGAGAAAATTGTGTGTGCCAAGTAGTCTGTATGAAAACCTAAATATAGAAGTAGTTTAGAATATTACAAAAAAAGGTTCACTTCCACAAGGCTCATTATTCTGAACATAGAACAGTCATGATAACAGCCCAATTTAAAGTCCACATCCAGGTACCCAACTGCTAATACAGTTGCATTTACTTGTTTTAAAAGAATATCTGCACAAATATTTTGGGAAACAGTTTGCACCAGGACGGGGTCATAGTTGTTTTATGACATAGCTACAACCAAGAGAAGTCTGAAAGCAGGGGCCAGACAATGAAGGAGCATGCATCCTCCACCCTCAGCTCCTGGCTGGACCCCCCTGACTCCTGGGACAGAGTGAAGAGGGGCTCCTGGCACACACAAGGCAGTGGCGCTGGAGGGACAGAGGAGGGAGGAGGACAAAGGTGTTGCATTAATGGTTTTTCCTTCCCATGACTTTCGTCAATTTTGTTATATAGAAACAGATCCTTTAAAGCAATTTGGACAAATCCAAGTTACATGCTAACCTCCCTTTGCTGTTCTCAAAACAGGTCAAGAAAGTAGGAAAGTGAGAAAAAACAGAGGGACCTTGATTAAGTGCAAGGCAGAGGCGCAAATGAATGATTTCCTGATGTGTTCTTATTCCATATTCAACGAAGTACACTTGGATTAAGAAGGCACAAGGTTTTACAGGAAGCTTCAGACCAAACCACCTTCTTCTCACAGGGTCAGTAATATTTAATGCCAATTTTGAGCTCCGCTTTGACTGCAATGACATGAAGCAAGGAGTCCGTATAATATTTACTCTTCCCATCTCCCAACTTCCGAGATAAGCAACAGAAAGAAAGATGGAAAAGGTGGAAGACACAGCCCACAAGACCTGGGACAGGGTGTCCTCGTGAGACTACTGTCTCCAGCAGGATGAAGACACCAGGCTGGCAGCAAAACTTGCCATGAATTTGATGCTTCTAATTTACAACCCAACAGTTTCAACAAAAAATGGAGTACAGGGGGCAAGGGGAACTTAGTCCACCTTTCATACCTGGAATATTCCAACTTGCCTAACAATTAGTTGGGTAGGCTGGGAAGTTCATCTCTGATTCGGCTTTATGAGAACTTTGATTCTATGACCAAATGCATACCCCTTGTTTGCTGCATAGAAAATACCAAGGCAGCAGCAGCACGAGCTAACAAGGGGTTTGTCTGAGTGGGTTACAGGCAGTAAGCAGTATACACAGAAGGCTTACAAGGAAGAACAGTCTCTGTTCTAGAAAGACAAACACACCCAACTATCACAGTCTTAACTTTCTGCTCATCTGTATGGCCCCTCTAGAGAGAAAACAACACAAAGAAAATATCTAGATGGGTTAAACCAGTGTCATGGGAGCAGAGCTAGAAATGGAAATCTTTGTGTGGCCATATACAAATCAGTTACATTCTATAGGCTTTGGGCAGCTGCTCTCTGGCTATGAGACAAATATGTCTCGAAGTCTCAGTATCCTTATCAAGAAAAGAAATATGCTAAGAGTATCTACTCGTAGTGTAGAAAGAAGGGTGCGATGATCTATCTCAAGGTTTAGCACATTGCCTAGTATATGGTAAGTCTCAGTAAGTTAGGATGACTATATGCTTACAAAGCAAATGGGATGAATGAACCCTATGGTACATTGTAGCCCTAACATTGTTTTTATTCTAAACTTTGGTGAAGTGAAAGAGGGTGCTTGGAGCATGCTGGCTAAGAAACTGGGGCTCAGAACTGAGAACACAATGGCAGATTTGCCATGGCATCTATATAACAGGATGCACATGTTTTGTAATCTTGAGCTGATGCTGATGGTTGCCAGACAAGTCAACTGGTAGGTTAAAAGAACAATCACAGTGCTTGGACAGCACTGCACAATTAGAACTTAGTCATTTTTAAGGGGTTGCAGTCACACACAGAGATGCTTGAGAGTTGTAAATTCCTAGAGCTAGAAAAAACCCTTGGTGGTTCTAGGTTCTCCCAGCAAATCACTCTCTCTGGTGAATAGTCATTGAATAAGTCAAGAACCACCTTCACCTGGATTATGCTGCCATTGAATGATGTTCCTCGAAGATCAGGCTACAGTACTCTTTCTACAAAATAGCCACAGATTACACCCTTGCTAAAGTGTGAATAGGCTTTTTCTATACATCTTGTGACTTTGCATCTCCTCTTCAATTCCCAGCATACAATAGGACCTCCACACCATGGCAAGCCCAAGAAGACAAATTTCTAAACAGAAGCTCTCCCATTGCTTATGGGCCAAAGAATGGAAGTCATTCCAGTAGTAACTGTTGCCTCCTGGTAAACCCAAACCATCTCTTCCAGTTTCCCCAAATTCTGTAGACTGAAGCTGGCCCACCCAGAGAGGCACCACTAAAGTCTACACATTCTATTAGAAATTCAAGCATAGACAGTATCTTCAAGTAGATCAAGCTATTAGATATTAATGTTCAGACAACACCTACCTCACTCCAGACCAGCATGGTACCGAATATGACCTGTAACCCATCAAAGAAATTGTCCCCTATGATGATCACAGTCGCGCCTCCCGTCGTCCATCCTTCACTCGGGCTGATGGCTTTGATACAGGGAGTAGCTGCTTTTCAACACACATGAAAAAGAGAAGGAGTCTGCTGTTAGAACCAAACTTTAATGATGAAGACTTGAGAAAAAGGAAAAAAAAAATCTTTTATCTTTTCACTAACAGAAAGTCCCTCAAGATCTCAGCATTTCCTAGCCACATTAGGACCTGAAACTTCAGGGTGCAACTTCAGTTTTTAAAAGCATTCTTTTCATTGTTTCTATTCAGATACATATATTTTACCCAAATCTTTATCAAACCTGAAACTTTATTAAAACACAAAGCAAATTTTAATTTGTGAATTGCTAAGGATTCTTTTTTATTAAAAATGGGTGACTTTCTGGAATATATTGGAAACCTTACAGAATTGCTTCATAGTTAAATATACCTCCTGAAAAGAAAACTTACATTTTTTTAGATAAACATTACCATCCAATAGGAAGCTAAGAAAGAGCGGAGCCTGGAGCAGGAAATGATTCTTGCTCCACGCCTTCTGTCTGAAACACTAACATTGCAACACGTCTCATTAAAAATCATTAAGATTTTTTTTTCAAATAAATGTCATAGATCCCATTTTACAGATGCGAAGAATGCAGGTCACTCGGGGTGAATTATGTAACCAAATAGCTGAGTCAGGGCTCAACCGCAGAGTTTTCCATGACCTTTGCTTTGCTCTCTTTCCCAGGCATAAAACCCTAGAATTGACTTTTTCAAAATTTCATATCTCTTTTCTTTCCATTATAAATGGCCCTTGGAGATGGGAAATAATTTGCAAATACTGTGATTCCAAATAGACTGGAGGTGGTTTGTTTAATGAGCATGGCATACTTTCAACAGAATTGCTGGGCATAAATGTCATTGTTGGATGGTTTTTAAAATCTCTCAGAGAGCACCTTCGTGCCACTGAGGACTTTTAACTCTACAATGTCATGCTCCTGTTCTCATGATTATTTTTATGAACAACAAGAAAGCAAAATCCTAAAGTAAGGGAGATACTGTTCAAGGAGAGAAAATAGGACCTTCATCTTTAATAAAAAATTTATTAAGTATCCAAGACTGACTTTCCGAGCATTGAAGCCAATGAGAGCACTAGTTAATTTTAACGGGAAAAAAACTGGCAAAAAAATATTTGGACTTTGTCAAATTTGGCAAAATGTCACGCTTTAACTTTTGCAAGAAGGAAAGAAAATATTAAGTCCAGCCCGGTGGGACCATTGCTCACGTGCCACCACACAAACAAATAGAATGGGTTTGATTTTGATTCAAATTAATCTTAAAAATTTGCACAGAGAAATTTGGAAATATCCAAACTAAACATTTCATGTTGGCTGAACTCACAGCAATGCATTTACAACTAAAACTGGGCAGTTCAGATGACTTTTCTCTCCTCTACTTTCTCCCAAAAACAAAATAATTAATCAAGAAGATGTAAATGATTCGTGACTTGACTTGACATTTCTTGTCTGATTTTTTAACATACATAGAGGTTGTGATCAGTGTTCCACAAGCATAGGGCTTTTTCTTAAACAAAAGTGACCTTTAAAAGTAAAAAAAGTTTAAATCCATAATTAAGTACTCCCAAACTAGTGATAGAATATGATGTATGATTTGAAGCAAGTTACAAGAGAAATAAACTATATTTAACAACTAAAATTCTAAAAATATATGCAGTTTGGAAACATTTTGTTAATGTCTCCAAACATCAATTCTTAATTTATAACTCAATCTACTTAGCTGCTGGAATGGAGTACAAAAGGTGTTACAATATCCCTAGTACTTCTGAGAAGAAGAGGATATTGGTTTAACTGAATTGGTCTTGAGAGTCCTGCCTGAGTCAAAGTATGGAATCCAATGGGGTCATTAATTACTGACCCTGAGATTACCCACACAGATTGCAAAATGGTCTTAGTGTTTATTATCAGTTTTAGCTTTGGAATTTCTGGGGTTTTTTAAATCACACATGCATATTTCTTTAAGCTAAATATGGTCTCCTGCAGGCTTTCTCATCATTGCACAAACGGAGGTGGAAGGGGGTGTTTCTGCATCTTTGAGAAACCCTCCTACAGGAAAGGCCTTAAAATAGCATGACCAAGACCTGCTAGTTTTGAACTTGACCCCTTCCCTCTTTTTTCCACTTGTTATACGTAGGATACAGAAGTCACATGGGTGTACATGCATGTGTGTGTATGTGCTTTCAAACACTTCCCAAGGAAAGTTGCAATGTTTTCAAATACTGTGAGCAATTTTCCAGAAGCAAAGCTATATGTCAATGCCTCAGAGGCAAGAAAGAGCATCAAGCTTCCAGAGATAACCAGGTGAGGAAACAATATTTGACACCGTCTTCTCAGTTTTAGAGAAATAAAGCCTTGAGGGAAGAAGTACCCCAGGAAGAATGACACACCCCTCAGTCCATCCTACCTCTACACTCAGCACTGTCCACCATCCCTGCTTCGAGACTATATGCTATTCTTAGAGCAGGTAAGTCATTCAGACCTTTCTATGTTTAGACCTCTAAGGGTTCCAAAACTACTCCTATACATTTGTTATAAATATTAGTCTTGAGGGGAAGCTCTGTGGCACCTCCCCACTGGTGAATTTGAAAAAACATGTAAAGGAATCATGAGCTATCCCAGAGAGAGAGGATGAGGAGGGGAAACTAGTACATTTAGTAACCGGAGGTCAAACCAAGTGTAGTGGCTCACACCTATAAACCCAGCACTTTGGGAGGCCAAGGTGAGAGGATCTCTTGTGACCAAGAGTTCAAGACTGGCCCAGGCAACACAGTAAGACTGTATCTATGAAAGGATTTTTAAAAACTAGCCAGGTGCAAGCCTGTCATCCTAGCTACTGGGGAGGCTAAGGCAGAAGGATTACTTGAGCCCAGGAATTCAAGGCTGCAGTGAGCTATGATTACACCACTGTACTCTAGCCTGGGGGACAGAGCGAGACTCTGTCTCTTAAAAAAATTAAATAAATAAATAAAAGAATGCTAAGTATCCAATGATGCATGAATGCATGGGATAGTCCCCATAAATGAAGAACCCCAAAATGTCAATAATGCAATGTAGAAAACACTGTGACCAGGAAAAGAGAATCAGGCCCAAGAGCTATTGTTAAGAATTCACAGACTCATGTAGACCAAGGCAAGACATACAAATGAATGCAGCAGCTCAGGCTGTCAGAACAAGCATGAGACGAATGGCCATTGACTCTCAACATCTATAATGCAACAGGAAGTGCTGGTGAATTGCACATGCCCCAGGGAAAGGTGGCAGCACTGCTCAGCTTCAGCCTTTGGTGGCCCCATAAAAATGTAGGCCTAGCATCGTCTGGGTTTCTAGTGATCTTTCCAAAGAAGCCAGGAAGCCACATTTTCATATCAAATTTTTCAATCTTTAAATGTTGGAAATGAATTCAGTATTTTTTTAACGCGTAGGCCAAACAAAATGTTTGTGGACTGGCTTTAACTCACGGGCTGCTATTTTACATTGTAACCCTACTCATGACACACCTGCCAGGCTAGAAGCAGACCTGGAAATACTTGCAATTGTGGCTAAAACTATAGGTACCCAAATGTTCACTGCAGTATTGACAGCAAAAAATTCAGATGTCTAGGTGCTCCCAATAGGGGAGTGGTTAAAGAAATTATAGTATATTCATACTATAGAATACTAGGAGTGTCATTAAAATCCACAAAACAATTCTATAAACTGATATGGAAAGATTTCAAAATAGGCTAGAAAGTGAAAAAAAAAATTTGCAAACTAAAGAACAGTATAATTATTTTTAAATAATATATATGAACCTGTGTATGCACTAGTATGTGTATGCATGCAGTTATATGTGAACAAGTATGATGGACAAAGGCCTGGAAGGAAGGATATGCTTTCCCCAGACGGTCCTTATAAAAAGGACTAGACTGCGGTTGACAGAAAAGGAGGACTATTAACATTTATTCCCTATATATCTGTAGGATTTAAATGTTTTCAATGTGTACAAATTAAGGTACTATGTAATAAGAAAAAAATTAAGTAGCAGCAGAACATTTAATTCTATGAGAGAGAACAGTTGTACTTTTTAGAGCAAAATTACATTTTAAAAAAGCAAAATAAAACAAACAAACAAAACAGCTGTGCTGACCCTGAGCCTCCTCTTCTCTCCTCATTTTGGATATGTTTTCTCTGAGAAAGCTCAGACAACATCCAAAGCAGCCAAGGACTTGTTTCTTACATTTGGGATACCCGGAGAGAAACAGAAAGAAGACAGGGGAAAATCACTTTTAATAGTCACAGTGGATGGATTCAGTGGAATTTGACTGTGAAAAGATTTATGAAAGAGTTCAATTCAGCACAGGGATGTGATAATCAATACAACTCTATCTCCAAGAAAATATTATGGAATGTGGGGGCGATATTTGAATAGAAAACTACTTTTACCAGCACATTTTTGATTTAATTAATACAAGATTCTTTCTTCCTCCCCAATGAATTTTCACAATCTTAAGTATCCGCAAGGCCAGTGAGCCAATTTCTGGTTTTAAAACTCATTAAAAATAAAAGTTTAGGGTTGGGGGTGGGGTTTGCCTCTTTTTTTAAATCCCTTCCCCCACCCCTCACCAGCCACGAAAGTAGAGGAGATTTTCCTTCCTTCAAACTATGACAATAACATGATTACCCTACCACAGTTTAGCATAATGGCTCTGAAATGCTCATGGCACATTGCAGAGTTAAAGTGGAAATTATTAGGTAGCTCTTCTTTGTTATAATAATGATCACTCCACAAATAAAAGCTCTTCTCCCAAAGGTACTGCAAGGCACAAAATGCTAATTCTGAAGATTATGTGTGTGCTTTTATTAAATATTACTATGCCCTGCCTGTTTGAGGGCTTCTCTGCTCTGATTGTTTTATGAGTACCATGTTAATGTCATTCCCATCTTGCTAGCAGCAGGCACACATTTTAGCGTTTGTATGAGAGTTGATCAAAGGCCACGTGCTGGGGGAATTGCTGAGAAAACACG